CCAGGCCAAGTGCTCCCAAGTTCACAAATGCTCATTGCCAGGGAGGAGCAGCCTGAAGCATGAGCAGGAATTCCCATATCTAGTTTGGGAAAACAAAACCGAGACAAATGGGGAAAAGGTAATTAAGAGCAACATGGTAGGATACCCATCTTACACTACCTTGGATTATCAGATATTTATGATCCTCTGCATTCTGAATTCTCCTGGCTGTTGGATCTCTTGGGGAACATAAGAAGCCTCAAAGATGCAGAGAAAAATGGGAATGCTGTAAGGAGAAAATGAAAGAGAGAGACAATGGCTGTAAGAGAGGAGGGATCCAATTTTCCTAAGTGTTTAGGGGACTTAGGAGATCAAATCTCTGGTAGGTTGAACTCACTTGAGGCACTACTGACAATTTACCCAATATACCAGGAAAAAACAAGATATAAAAAGCTCAGCACTGATTATGCTGGAGGCAAAACAACCTTTACTATCAAGGTCGCTTTCTAGACTCCATATATTCTAACCAGGGTGGTGGGTCCTCAGGGAATTCCCCCTCATACACATCCTTTCTTCGCAGTCAGAGAGCAACTGATGTGCAAGAGTGCCTGGAAGGAGCAGCTAGTCACGGGTTTTGAGTGACAGCACATAAATGGTATGGTCTCCAGTAGAAAGGCTGTCTGGTGGTATTTCAGTTCTCTGATTGGGATTCTGTTTCCCATGTAGTCTGGCCTCTCCTTGTCTGTTTGTTTTGTTATCATTTGTATGGAGATCATCAGATCCAAGTACATTTGACATATGGAGATAACAGTCAGGAAAGGAAACAACATATGGCAGACAATTCATATCCATCAAGATCTTTCATAAAACCATTTTTAGCAATAGAAAAAGAAGAGTAGAAAAAGACAGCAGGTTTGAATTTAAAATAAGTATGCTACTCTAACAAACAGGAGGGCCTAGGGCTTGCTTTCTAAAATGAGACCACTGGCTCACTGAAGCCAGCATCTGCTGGTACCCCATGTTTAAATGATGGGATAAAATTCTCTGCAGTGCTTTGGTCAATTACTTTTTGACCATCATGACTGATTAATAACTGGTCTCAAAGTCGTGACTGAAGCCAACCGCACTGACTGTCTAGCCTGTTGAATCGCTGCCTTGGGGTACTTTGGGGCTAATCCAGCTGTTCAGCCCAGGATTACAGGGAGGAGGGAGATAGGGAGCACAGGACTATACAGGTACTAAAGGGTGAGTGTACCTGGAGACCCCTCTGTGTGAGGTACAGCCCTGCTGTCCTCATGTATCTTGTTTGCCCTGTAGCAACATCACATAATTGTTTGGACAGATGATGAGATGGTCCAAGTCCTTCCTAGCAGGCCAGTGATGCTGCTGGTTGGAAAGGCAGAAGGATTTATGTGTAGAATGAGTTCAGGCTAAATTCAAATCATCTACAAGGGTGCTGTGGATATGTAGCACTGGGTCTCAGGAGCATCCTAGGCTTCAGGCTGCTCCTCAGACAAACCACGTTCTGGATGTACACCAGAAATATGGCATTTGATTTCTTTAATGAAAAAAAATGCCAGTCCGTCAGTTTGACTGAATTGAACTGAAGATCCTTTTGGCTTGAGAGGAATATTTTGAGGTGCTATATCTAGTCCAGACATGGCTGTATTTGGATTATATGGATATATTAGGAAGTTTAAAAGGAATGAGTATGCTTTCCAGGATAGAAAAATATTACATATGTCACTAATGTATGTAACTTATTTATTTGTAATAAATGGGATGTCTTCTGTAATCTATAACTGTTTTTCACTTTGGCCTTTTACCAAAGAAAGTGGCATTTTGCTTTTGGTTAGTTTCTTTTTTATGACCCTATGGAAGAGTCTTGCAGGATTAAGAGGTTTTTTTAAGGATAAGGAAACCTCTGCAACAGTGTTTACATAGCCTAGCCTTATGTCGTGGCTCAAACCTCAAATCAGGACACACTACAGAGGTCTCACAGGCTCACAGTATCCCCGATGTTCCAAAAGGAAGAAGGAGCCCCAAGCTCCTCTCATGAAACTAAAAGCTGAAAACCAGAAGAAGAATAGCCACAGTGTGAAGATATACTTTCAAGGAGGATCTTCTCCCAGCCTTTTTTCTTGATGTTCTTTCACATAATTTCCAGTGTGGTCGACTCCCTTCCTCCTCTGCCAGTTGTCTTCCCATCTGTTATTTCCTCTGCTCCAGGAGCAGAGTAGTTGAGCTGTAATGATGGGGTTTGCTGGTACTACACCTCTGGAAGTAAAAAGCAAATCTTATTAGAGGAAGGAACAAACACTTTCCGAGATGGATAAGGCCTGTTTGAAGATCCAGGGCATCTCGCTAGGAATGGAATCAGTCAACCTCCTCTATGGGTTAAACGTGCTGAGCTGAACAGAGTTATGTGAGAGAGGAGCTTGGCCAAGTTTATCTCCCATTCCTGTCTGGGTGAACAGAAAGGATGAAACCTCTGTCTGGTCTAATAAGGAGTCAAAGCCGGGCCCTGCCCAGAGCCTTGCCACAGTATCAGCATAAGGATGTGGTGTTGAGCATAGCAGTCCTTTACAGGTGCCAAGTCAGGGGGTTTAAAATGTAAAATGGCATTTCAATGTTTAAGAATAGCAAGTAATTTGATGGCTGTAATAGAAAAGCTTCCAATCCTTTAGCAATGTGTTCCAGAGCTGCATAACACTGCTGATAAAATTGCCTTTGGATTCCTTGTCTAATATTCCAGCCTTTCTCTCGCTCAGCAAAACACAATAGCTTGCACTAAGCCTCCCTGGGAGGGCGGCTAACAGCACATTTACTAGACACTTCAACATTTGATCATATTTCTCCTGAGTGTATTTAATATCTGTTAATGTCAGCAGCCCCAGCCTAATCGAAATACCTGCATTGCTGGGAAAAATGTTTAATATAAAGGATGACACGGGTAAGCAATCACTTACTGATGTCTTTTGGAAATGAATAGGTGACTACCCAGGCTCTCCCTATCCCCCTTCTTCTGCCTCTCCCCTCCCCAACCATGCTCTGTTACCACCCTGCTGCTGTGTGCTTCTCTGAATGCATTAGAGTGGTTATTCTGAGTATGCAGGAGATGCCAGGAATAGTTTCAGGTTTCCTGCCTCATCAAACCAAATTCAATCTGTAAAAAATTAATACACCCAGAAGGAACAGTTAAAAGCATCTCCAATCAATTAATGTTAAAATGGGGAGTAGAAGGTTGATTTGTTAAAGGAAACCCAATCCAGCTCAGAGCTGGAGAGAGGCTACTGAGACAAGAGTACAGTTAACAAGTCAAGCTGTAGTGTTTCAAAGGAGGGTAGTAAATAAGGTATAGGTCAAAGCTATGAATGCATCACTCACAGCTGGTCATTGCTTCAGGTCGAGGATCCCCTGCCCTGTTTTGGGCAGGCCAAGAAGTCTCAGTCTTCTCCCCAGACTTCCCACAAGGCAGCAGATGGCACATGCCTAGCTGTTTGCACTGGCCATTTTCATCTTCTGTCTTTTCTTCCAGTAGCAGCTGGACTGACAAATAAAGAATGCAGCCAACAGCCATGAGAGGCTCTGCATACTTAAAACAGCCTCATGTCTACTACACTGCTCACTCCAGCAATTCAGAAGACAAGTTGCTACACCATCCTTATGAGTTTGCCTTTAAAAATCTTAAGTCAGAAAGAGATAGATAGAAGAGGGTTGTTTTTTTCCCCTAATATCTGAACCTTGTTGATGTTCAACATTATCTTCACCATCACAAGTGTCAGGCCTCAATTTTATTTGTAATGGAAGCTGAGACTCTCATATCATCTCTTGACTCCAGGGCCTGGAGATTTAAGCTGCAGTTTGAAAGGCATGTGGATGAGTTTCAAGAACTGGCAACAAAGATCCTCATGGTGAAATTAAACAGAAATCTCAGTAATTTACACACAGGAGGGTTCAATCTGCAACTCTTGACTGTCTCTTGTCTGGAGTGCCAGTCCTCATAAAGGTGGATTCTACTTTTTTTCCCTCAGACGCTCTCTGAATGTTTCCAAAGTGTAGAAAACTTCCAAATCATGTCTGAGTACATATTTGAATTAAACCTTTTCAAGCATGTTTTCTTGCTACCTGGTGTATTAGAAATAAATAAATAAAAAATAAAGTACACAACCAGCTGAAGCCGATTGTCACTATTTTGCCTCTGATTAATGTAGGTCACACTTTTCTTCCTTCCAGCTATTAAGTATTTAGATCCATTTATACTTTAATCCCTTGTCTTTTTCCTGGTTCTTTGTTGCTTTGTTACATCCTCACAGTCAGAGAGCATTGAGATAAGTGGTAGAAAAATGGGGAGAGGGAGTTAAGGCAGTAATCCAGCTTTGAAATAAAAAATTGGCCTGAGGTTAGTGCTTGAATGTAAAGAGGCTACTGAAGGCAGAAGGGGAGAAAAAAGACTGGCAGGAGAAACTGAGGCAATAAGACCTGAACCAATATTAGCTCTTCTCTGGATGGTGTACTTGAATGCAGTCCTTGTGATAAAGGGTTAATGAAACTGCATTTTCCTGAGTGTGGACTGGGACAGGGCTAAGAGTGAAGGAGATTTGCTGAAGGCTATGATAGGATTGCTAGGATGGAGGTAGGAAAGTAGTTTAGCTGGTGCTGGAGCTATGCTGCCTGGTGGGCTGCTGTGTTTGGGGAGGGCTTCAAGCGGTCAGGAGGAGCACTGAGAGAGGCCCATAGCTGCTGAGATGGGAGGGGTTCATATTGTGCTTCCCACCTTCCCCTATATCCCTCTGCCCAGGCAGAGGAGCAGTGCACTAGAGAAATACCTGCACTTTGTTCACAAATCTTTGCCCCTGAGATTTAGAGTGTGTTCTGGGCTTGATCTTTTCTGAAAACTGTATTTCCTTTGGAGGTGGGAAGGAAATTCTGTGGACACCAGCAACAACTCTGCTTGTAGTGGGGAAGCATGTCTGCCTGCTAATTGACGATCACTTTTTCTATTTTCTGCTTTCTCTTAGAAGGTAACAGCAACCTTCCCTCCAGTTAAAATAGAGGAAACTGGCTGGAGAGAGCTCAGGTAAGGCCAGTTGACATATTCTTATATTCAATAAAAGAAGTTTACACAAAAATACAATTATTGGTCTCCTCTCTTAATTACTGGGCACGCTTACTGCATAATGCTGTAGGTTATATTTCTAGTTCTTTGCTGTTTGAAAGCCCAAATCAATTTTCCTATGAAATTTTGAAAATAAAATACAGTTTTAAGGAGACTTCTTGGGCCCCATGTGTTTTATGTCACACCAGATATAAACTGGGTTTCAGTGAAAGGAGAGCATGGTTGTTTCATTTATCCAGGTCTGGGCAAAAGGAACGACGCTTCTGCAGCCAGGTATAGGAGACTGCACGGCTCAGCTGTGCCCTACACTAAGATACAATAATACACAGTGTGGTGCAGCTTTAATTTTAATTCAAAATAAATATTTCCATAACCTACAAAATTCCTCTAATACACTTATCTGGGAGAATACAAAGATTAAAGAAATCCTGCTAATTCCTTTATCTTTCAGATACAGGGCTGAAAACAAAGACATCCAAACCTTGAGCCATTTAGGAGAGGAAGAAGCCAAAATCTATGCCAGAGGTTTGACTGCTGGGTTTACTCATGGCTTCAGGTAAGCTTCTTTCCCTGGATTGTTTAGCATTTCAGAGGCCCTCTGTGTTCCTCAAGGAGAGCTGTGGATTACAGGCATAAAACCTTGCATAGCTTGCAGCCAAGGCAGAGCAGAGGGAGTACAAACAAGCTAATCCAGGGTGCCTTCCCATCCAGCATCCTGCCTCTGACCCTGGCCAACACTATACGCTTCAGAAGATAGATGTAAGAACCTCACAGCAGGCAGATGCAGGATAATCAATCCTTTCAACCTTGTTCTCAAGCCCCATTAGATCTCATCCTGATCCCTAAATAGTTAGAGGTTGGATTAAGCCTTGAAGTATGGCATTTAATATACTCTAAAAATTGTTGTTACCATTAATTCCCAAGACTCTGGAAACTAATGTTATCCATAGACAAATACATTTTCATTTTGAATCATCCTGTGTCCTTGGCCTACTATAGCAATGAGCACCTAGGCTTAAACACCGGTTTGCAAAAAGCATTTAATATTTCTTTTTATCTGTGGTGATTTCCCTGTGATTTTTTTTCACTGCATGATTCTTTTCCTGACATTATGAAGTAAGAGGTAGGGATAAAGTGAGTATACTCTAAAGATTACACATTCCTTCCTCATATTATTGTACAAAAGGTCTCAGAGGACGAATTCTTTGAGCAGCTTAAGCATTGGTTTGGCAGCCTGTTTCCAGCCCCACTTAAAAACAGAGACAGGCTTTGCACCTCTCTCAAGACAAACCCTACTCCACACTTTAGTCCAAATTGCTGACCTTGGCTGACTTTTGTCCCAGCTTTCCCAGTCATGGCTAGGATGCGCAAGCTCTCATAGAGCTATTTTGGCAGACAATCTATCCCTTGGCAGCCCCTTTCCCACCTACTCCAACCGGAGCAGTAGTTTCTGTCTCTCTCCCAACACTAAACCTCACCCTTTCACTTGCCCTTTTTGTCAGCAGAGCCTTACCCAAGACCCTCAGGCATCCTGGAGTTGAAAAAGCTGTCGGTGCAGAATGCATTTGCATCCTCCCTGTTCCTCTGGCATCCCTTTTTCTGCCTAGCTCCATCTGTAGCTTTTTGATTTTTGTCATTTTTAACCCTAACCCTAGCCATTAGCCTTCTCTGATGCTCTTTTCCTAGGATGTCTTCTTAATATTTTGCTTTAACAGGAATTTTGATTTTTTTTTCCCTCCTTGTTGCATCTCATAACCCCATTTAATTTGTAAAGTATCTTTGAGGAAATTTTTAGAACATATGAAGAGATTTTATGTGAAGCATTCCAGCTGGGTGTGTAGTGCTTACATAGAATTGCTCAAATGTTTTCTATCATTTAATTTCTAATTAATTTTGGTTCTCTGCTATCATTTGTGCACACACTACATGAATATATCTACAGTGATGTCCTGGACTACTTCATCGTGTCACCTGCATTACATCTTCGTACCACCTGCAGTGCAGCATCCTCTCCCATGCCCCATCTCTTCACCATTCCTCCTCCCTGCTCTGTCTCTGTCCCTTCTTCTCTTCCTTCTTACAACAACACAGCCTCTTTCTCTTTCCAGCTGCGTCCTCTGACCTTCTCTGCTCTCCTGCTTGGTGTCCCTTGCTGAGACAGTGGCCAAGGGGCACCTGAGGGACCCATGTAAGTGTGGTGGGCAAGAGAAGGCAGAGGAGGACCTGCCTGCATGAACTGGCAGTTCCCCATACTGTGAGCCAGGGAGAAGGAGGTGAGCAGGGGAGGTGTTGCCCTGCTGCAGGACACAGCCTCTCCCATGGTGGGATCTGGGCAATGGCTGCTCAGAGCCACGATGGCATTCTGTACCAGAGGTGCTGGGCACCTGCTTGCCTGTGCACTGTGCAGCAATGAGGGCCCTCAGCAGTTTAGGGGCACAGATCATGGGATGGATGTAAAGAAATGGGGTTTTTTCTCAGTAGAGAAAAAATTGCCCACTTCTGTTTAGATTCCTGTGCAAGCAATTTTTCCCCCTTTCCAACGTTACGTGTCCATGGTGTTTCAGCACTGGAATTTGATTACATGGGCCAGTCATCTGGTTGCCTAAGGCCTTCTGAATGTCATCGTAATTGTTCCTACTACTGACCCACCTGAAAACTTGTGGTTGGTGTCATTTTTGCTATTTCAGTTCAATCCCTTTCCAGATCATTCATAAACATAAGCAAATCGAACAGTGCGGTATCCGGGGTGAAGCCTTGAGGCATATGACATTTGCCAGGGTGAAAATAGGCCATTTGATTCTTCACTTCTTTGCTTCTTTTCTCTTTGTTAAAGTTTCATCCAGAAAATATTTTAACCCCCTCACTTATACTGTCTTAAGCCTAGAGTTTCTCTATTTTGCAATGTTTGCTCAAAAGCATTTTGGCAGTCTAAGAAAGTCACAGTTTTCCATGGCCAGAGAATTGTCAGAGATTAGTAGAAACAGTTCCACTTTCTGTGTATATGATTTTAAACATCCTGTTACTATTTTCTTCTCATTCTTAATGCTAATTTCAAGGAATAATGGCTAAAACATTCCAACCAGAGGTAGTTCTGCAGACTCTCAAAACCTGTTTCTATTACTGTGCTGATTACACCACCCCTCAGCATTACCAGGCTTTTAAGTGAGGAGATCAGTAGTAATTGGAAGACCATGAGAAAAGGCAGATTTCAAGAGCTCAGGGCTTGATTTTCCAAACAGGTCAGTGCTCATACCTAGGACTAGAATTTCACAGACCTAATGCAGTGGGAACTGAGCTGTTTTGGAAACCTGACCCAGGGCTGTGCCTTGGTGCCTCTTAACAAGCTGGTGAGTCTTCATGGCACAGAGCAGTTCTGTGGAGATAACAGCTCATCTTCCAGAGATCCAGTGGACTTTTCAGTGCCCAGCAAATTAGCCCCGCTACAGCAAAGCAGCTTCATGGCTATTCATCCAATTTGGGAGATAATTAGAGTAGAATTAACTTGATGGTCTTTGCCCTGTGCACAGTTGCATGAAGCAGACAAGTTTATGCTTTGTGCCCATCACTCCTGTTTGGAAGCTCAGAGAAAGTGCTATGGGGGGGCGTATAGGCTCGCCTCCAATCTCAGACAATGAGGAGACTTCTTCCTGCAACCACTTCTGCATGGGGTGAACCCCAAAACCTAGAGAGACTTTTCTTGTCAGCCAGGGGAGATACTGAGGATGTGCTGGATGCCATTGCCTCAGGAGCTCATCTGAATCCCTCACTGGCCCTCATGGCTTCTTCAGGACTGCGAGACCTCTAGGATGAGGCCATTCATCCTACTTCTCCCAGTGAAGTGTGCCTTGTCCGATGGGACATGTGTTTCATTGCAGCTGGTTCTTCGGGCTGTCATGACTAATAAAGTAGTCCTTGTTTGGCTGCACACGGGGATCCCCGGTGTTCAGCTGCTGCATAAATCTATCGAGAGGAAATGGATGCTGCATTTGATGACCTAGTCTACCCAATGGACACAGTTCCTGGAAGAAAAACAAAACAAAACAAAACAAACCCACCCAAAACCCCTGGGAAATGCTGCTCCATGTAATCCCAACTGTCTTGTCCTGCTGCTAAGAGGAGCCATGTGGCTTTTACAGAGACATACAGGAAAATGCTGTTATTAAGGGCTTCAGGTATTCGTTCAGGAGGCTGTGGGATGCAGCCATTCCTTAGGCACTGCAGATGTATTTACAGTATTAAAAGGTCAAACAATCTTTCTATTTCCCTGTTTGCTTCAGAGAGTTTTGTTGAACATTCTCATTATTCGTTGTGGTATTTCTTTGATTTAAGAGGATTTCTCTACATGACCATAGTTATTAGAATGCAGTGTGTGTGCAGTGAATGTGTTATTACTATAACAAGCTTCTCCTTGTAGTAGATATTTAGTCTGAGTGCAAAGCTTTTAGTTGAGTTGTGCATGTGTCAGTGAAGACAAGATGGGGCAGGTAATTTGGAAAAAAAGATGGAGCAGAATGGGAAAAGGACACAAAATTAATAGTTAAGAGCTGTGACTTCTGTCCCGGTCTTTGTTATGGGCGCTGTGCCAACTATTACCTTTCTTTGCTGATCTTTTTTGGATGGAAAGCTTTGTACAACATCGGGGAGACCCTGAGGATGGGAGCACATTTTTCTCCTTGTGCAATTTCACCCTAATTGCTGGCAGGGCTTTTGGCCCTCTTAACCTTTAGGTGAACTGCAGAAAGCCTCCAAATCCCTAGGCAATTGTTGGGAGTCCTTCCTGATCTTCCTCCAGGACTTGCTTGCTGTTCCTTGTCCACGGTACCCCTTCAGTGTCAGAGAGAGGAAAGGGGCAGCAGAAGAGTGATTGCTGGAGCTGGGGGACAACTAAATGCAGCATGTAAACCCTGCGGCTTAGTGAGAGGAGGGAGAGGCAACAAGGACTTTTTGTAGGTTTGGGAACAGTAGGAACATTGGTATTATCAGGGAAAGATAATTAAAGATATTATAACGAGGCCAGGGAGTCAAAGGCATTATGTCATGATTTCCACTCTATTTTAAAAGCCGCAGCAAATGGGCTTAGATAAGGGTGATTACTTCCAAGAAGAAGTAACCGAAGAGTCTGCTAAACATCATCTATTAGGATAACATATACCTAGGAGTCTTAAGAGCATTAGCTCAGGAAACATCTGGTTTTAATTAATCTGGAAGTGCTGGCAATATTACAGATGACTGAAAAGGTTTTAGGTTTTACCAGTACTTCAGAGGGGTGTGAGAAGGAGGTAAGATAATTATAAGCTGACCAAACTGAAGTCGGTATCTGGCAAAATACTGCACAGGGAAATATGAGATTCAGTTGCTAGATAGAAATATAATTAATAACAGGCAACCTAGCTTTCAAGGAAGTAGAGCCTGCTAAACAGAACAACTTTCATTTTGTATGTGATTACAAATTTAGTTGTCGACAGAGACTGCAGAGAGATAATATGCTTTTTCAATGTGTTCAACATGGGCCAGTGCAATATTTTGGCCTGAGTCAAAAGATGCAGGGAATGCTGA